TTGACAAAGGACCAATTGATGGTCAACCTAATTTGGTATTTTGGAAAACAAATGGAGTTTCACTTGGTTCTTCTATTGAATTGCCTATTATTTGACTAAGTTCATTTCGTTCAGAGGCTGTTTGAAGTTTTAATGTTACTGATTATTGTCCGTTCTTGAAAGATGCAGGTGTTTGACTTAATTGTTCGACACTAAACACAATGGAAGCAATATTGTGTCCATGAGAAATGCTGTTGAGCTTTTACTTCTAATGTTCTACTCACAATTTGTTTGAACAATGTGCTTTCATTGTTCATGCCATTTTGGATATTTTCATTATCTTGCTGCTTTCCTCCTCAATAATTGTTGCAATTATAGTTTAGTTCTATCCAGGCATTTGTAAACTTGGCATTATATCTCTTGAATATCACATCAGGGCATTGTGTATGTATCATTCAGATAATATAATATTACGTTTATTTTCGTTTTGTTTAATTCAAAACAAAATTAAAAAAAAAAAGAACCTGTTGGAACCTGGAACCGACCCTGGAACCTGTGACAGGGTAGGTTCCAGGTTCCACGTTCAGACGGGTAGGTTCCAGGTTCCTCAAAATGAGGAACCTGTACCCGAGGGTAGGTTCCAGGTTCCAGGCGGAACCTACCCAGAACCTGGAACCGCTCACCCCTAGTGCTTGAGTCCATTGAGGCCGGACGCAAGGCCCCGGTGCTCGTGCTCAATGCTATAGCAACCAGCCTAGGTCCACAATATTCAAGCGTGGGATCCTAGTACCCAAGCTCGGATCCCCAACACCCATGCCTGAGTCCACAAAGGCCATTTCCGAGTGCATCGAGGTCGGGCTCGGGACCTAGGTGCCCATGCCCCGATCCCAATGCCCGGGTCGGGGCTCATTGACGCCGGACCCGAAACTCTAGTGCCCGTACCCAATTCCCCGATTACCCATGCGCAAGTTGTTAGCGTCCAAATAGTGTATATTTATTTAGGAAAATCAAATCATTTCCATACCACGTGACTGAAAATTTTCCATTTTATTTTCAAATTTTAGTCAAATACTAAAAAATAGTGTCATTGACTTTCTAAAAAATATTTTTAGAAATATCAAATTTTTCGTGAAACAGACAGACTATAAATGTTATTTCTTTTTCTTCCTCCCCGTTTTTTAACACTGGATATGGGAGGACCAGTGCTTATAATTAGGGATAAAGAGATATTACTACCGCGGTTTACTTGAAACGGTGGATAGTGTTTGACAATGGCATGACATCGGAATCGCAGTGGGTGGGTGCAGTTCACGTGCGAGTTTTAACTTTCAGGAATTTTCGCAAACACCTCGGCGGTTCCCAAGGAAAGAAGCATAGGTTTCACCTGCCTAAGTCTAATTACATACACCGCAAAGAGCAGAAGAAGAGTGTTCATTAATGGAAATTTTATTGAGAAAGCAACAGTCTACATAGATACATGTTCCCAAATTTCAGGTGCCAGAATTCCTGGGACAAATCTGAGCCCTCAAAGGGTTCTTCATCACTATGGTGAACTCCTGCTTTTCCGACAGGTCCACCTCTTCGCCCGCCACCGACCTCCACTGGAACAGCCACACCAAGTTCGCCACGAAGTACTCCAAGTGCAGCATCGCAAGCCCGTATCCGGGACAGATCCTCCTCCCCACCCCAAACGGCATCATCTTGATCTCCCTGCTCCCCGTGATGTCGAACCCCCCGGCTTCTTCTTCGCAGTTCAAGAACCTCTCGGGCTTGAACGCCATCGGGTCCTCCCAGACTTCCGGGTCCCAACCCATCTCCGCCACCATGAAGTTGATGCTCCCGTCCTTGGGGATCACGTACCCGCCCAGCCCCGTGTCCTCCGTCACAGCGTGCGGCACCACGAAGTGCGCCGGCGGGTGGCGGCGCAGCCCCTCCAGCACCACCGCCTTCAGGTAACCCATCCTCTGCAGGTCCTCCTCCTTCACTCGCTCCACCCCGTGTCCCACGACTGATTTGATATCATCGTAGAGCCTCTGTTGGATTTCTGGGTACTTGACCAAGTTGGCCATGATCCACTGCAGCGCCGTGGACGTCGTGTCGGTACCGGCGTTGAGGAACTCATTGCAGAGGCTCACTATCTCGTCCTCCTCCAGCTTCCTCTTCTCCTCCGGCAGCTCCAGGTCCAGGAGCGTGTCCACGTACGATAAGATCCAATCGCCGTCGCCGTCATTCCCGTCCTCCTTGGCTTTGCTCAGCTGCTCTCGCTTGGGCTTGGATCGAGCTCTGATGAGCGGGACGAGGACGCGCTTCCGATTCTCGTGGAGCTCGTAGAACTCCTTCCACCGCTTCCGGAGCACGAGCTTGGTCAGCCGCGGCCAGAAATTGAGCACGTTGAACCGCCGCGCACCCAGAATCAACCGTCGCTGAACCCCCTCGATCTGCTTAATCTGCTGCTCCTCGAGCCTGTCTCCGAAGCACATGAGGACCAGCAAGCAGAACATGGCGTACTGGAAGTGGTCGACAACGCGGACGACGCCACCAGGCTGGGACTTGAGCTCCCCCACGAGGATGTCGAGGACCCACGCGCGGGCGCGGGAGTAGGACCGGACGCGGGAGGGATGGAGGATCTCCGCCGTGAGGTTCCGGCGGAGTAGGCGCCAGGTGGGGCCGTAGGAGGCGGAGTTGATGTTGTGCTGGTTGGAGGTGAGGATGCGGCGGATGGGCAGGGGCGGCGGGCGGTCGGCGAAGACGGCGCCGCGGTGGACGAGGGCCTGGTGGGCGAGTGCCCGGGAGGAGACGAAGACGGCGGGGTGGGAGCCGATGTGGAGGGTGACCATGGGGCCGTGGCGGGCGTGGAGGGAGCGGAGGACGGGCTCGAGCTCCGAGGAGGACTTGGGGAGCCATAGCAAGTTGCCAACGACCGGGAAGGTGAGGGGGCCCGGCGGGAGGCTCTTCTTGTTGGCGGCGGGAGAGAGGAGGTTGACGGTGGCTCTGAGGAGGGCGGCGACGGAGAGGGCGACGAGGATGAGGAACCAGAGATCCATGTTTTGCCGAAAGGTCGCTCTTGTTCATATAAGATTGGAGATTGGAAATTGGATGACGACCTAGTCACCGGTGGAGAGGTCGCTCTTGTTCATCTTGACAAATCTCTCCATTTTGTACCTCTGTAAATGTCGACTGAGGGAGGTCCAATATATAATGGGGCTTGAAGGGTGGGATGGTGACTTGCTTGAGAGGCTATCGATATCAAAGATTAAAGGGGCTCGACCTGTTCAGTGTGATTAATTGCCCGGGGCTAATGGAGACTCGAGGCGCGGAGAAATTGGGATCGCTAGGGACATATTATTTATTCACCGGTGCAATTCCTTCTATTGGTTGCCTGATTTATGAAAATTAAAGAAGTTGCGGGACTCGATCTTGCACGCTGAGGGTGTGCTTGGTAACCATTCTGTTCCCGAAAATAATTTTTATTTAGAAATGATTTTTTTTCATTCTGTTCTCGGAAATAATTTCTAAGCATTCGAAAACATCTGATAATGGCTCAAAATTTCCATTCCTGAAATAGAAATGCGTTTGGTAATTGCACAAAATTTCTTTTTATTAATAATATTTTAAAATTTTTTTAAAATTTTTTTGTTTTTATTTCTTTTTCTCCTTCTTGGCCGATGACCGGCCACAGGTCAGGGCCGGCAAGGGTGAGGGTTGAACCCTCGTGGCCTGGGTGAGGGCCACCCCTGCCCAAGTTGCGAGCGGCGAGGACGGCCCTCACCGGCCTTTTCCAGTTGTCGCTCGAGCAGGCAAGGGCAGCCGTCGAGGCTCGCGACTTGGGCGAGGGTTGGACCCTTGTCGCCGCCCTCGCCCAAGCCGCGAGCCTCGAGGGTAGCTCTTGCCGGCTTTGGCAAGGGCTAGAAAAGGCCAACGAGGGCCGCCCTCGCCGCTCACGGCCTGGGCGTGGGTGAGGGCGAGGGCGAGGGTCCAACCCTCGCCCAGGCCGCGAGCCTCAACGACGGCCCTTGCCGGCTCGAGCGAGGGTTGGAAAATGCCGGTGAGGGCTGCCCTCGCCGCTCGCTGCTTGGGCAGGGGTGGCCCCCGCCCAGGTTGCCAGGGTTTAGCCCTCGCCCTCGCCGGCCAAGAAGGAGAAGAAGAAAAAAATTTAAAATATTATTAATAAAAAGAAATTTTGTGTTGTTACCAAACGCATTTCTATTCTGTTTCTATTCCAAGAATGTAAATTTTGAGCCGTTATCAAATGCTTAGAAATTATTTCCGAAAACAGAACAAAAAAAAATCATTTCTAAGCATTCATATTTGTTAGCATTTATATTTAAAAAATTTACCACGTCCACGTCAACGCTGGCTGGCCAAAATTGGCCGGATGAACTGAATTGACACAAATATAAAAGGTTTAGGACTAAATTGGCCAAAAAAAATTTATGAATGAATCGACATAATTATAATAGGTTTAAGACTGTTTTGGTAATTTTGTTATTTTTTGGACGAAGCATCTGAGTTGGTTCAAAAACACTAGTCATTCTTCTTTACATTATTTTATTCCTTTGTTGTGCCACAATGCGGATAGAAATCTTCATAGACTAGCATCACGATAACTCTAACTTATAGTAATAATCAATGACCTAATGCTATAAAATTAACATTTTGACCATAAGCCTTGGGCGCTAAGTCAGTGGACATTCTTCCAAATGAATTCCTAAAGTAACGAGGACGTGTCTTTCTATAATTTGCATATGTAACATCAGAAACGTAATCACGGCAATCAACTAGACTTAATTGCTAAGCTCGAAATGCCGATCGTTGATATGACGCTCAATCTAAATGTAAATTATTCTAATAAGATTTCGTGCACATCCAAAGGAGAAGTTTATTAGATTATAATGTATCAGACGTAGATTCAGACAAGTGAATATGGATTTCATACACATTCAAAAAAACATAATGGATGACATCCCGGTATCGGTACTGGATTTTCTCTAGGAAATGATCTATTCACAATTTAATTTTTTTTATTTTATATTTTGATAAAACCCATCCTCCATTTTCTTAAGGATTCTAAAAAAAAAATGAAAATAAAGACGAGAATCCCCAATCAAATAAGTCCAAGAACCTTGCTAAGCTAACGGGGCCGTAATTCAGGAATTTTCGCAAACACCTCGGAGGTTCGCCTGCCAAGTCCAATTACATACAGACATTTTCCCAAGTTCAGGTGCCCAAATTCCTGGGACAAATCTGAGCCCTCAAAGGGTTCTTCATCACTACGGTGAACTCCTGCTTCTCCGACAGGTCCACCTCCTCGCCCGCCACCATCCGCCATTGGAACAGCCACACCAAGTTCGCCACGAAGTACTCCAAGTGGAGCATCGCGAGCTGATGCGCGGGACACATCCTCCTCCCCACCCCAAACGGCATCATCTTTATCTCCCTGCTCCCCCTGATGTCGAACTCACCGGCTTCCCCGCCCCCGCCACAGTTCAAGAACCTCTCGGGCTTGAACACCATCGGGTCCTCCCAGACTACCGGGTCCCAACCCATCTCCGCCACCATGAAGTTGATGCTCCCGTCCTTGGGGATCACGTACCCGCCCAGCTCCGTGTCCTCCGTCACCGCGTGCCCCACCAAGTGCGCCGGCGGGTGGCGGCGCAATCCCTCCAGCACCACCGCCTTCAGGTAGCCCATCCTCCGCAGGTCCTCCTCCTTCACTTGTTCCGCCCCTTGTCCCACGACTGATTTGACTTCATCGTAGAGCCGCTCTTGGATTTCTGGGTACTTTACCAGGTTCGCCAAGATCCACTGCAGCATCGTGGATGTCGAGTCCGTGCCAGCATTGAGGAACTCCGAGCAAAGGCTCACCAGCTCGTCCTCCTCCAGCTTCCTCTTCTCCTCCGGCAGCTCCAGGTCCAGGAGCGTGTCCACGTAAGATAGGATCCAATCGCCATCGCCGTTGTTCCCATCCTCCTTGGCTTTGCTCAGTTGCTCTCGCTTGGCCTTGGATCGAGCTCGGATGAGCGGAACGAGGACGCGTTTCCGATTCTCCAAGAGCTCGTAGAACTCCTTCCACCGCTTCCGCAGCACGAGCTTGCTCAGCGGCTGCCAGATATTGAGCACGTCGTACCGCCGAATATCCAGCAGCAACCGTCGGTGAACCTCCTCAATCTGCTTAATCTGCTTCTCCTCGATCTTGGCTCCAAAGCACATGAAGAGCAGCAAGCAGAACATGGCGTACTGGAAGTGGTCAACCACACGGACGATGCCGCCTGGCTGGGACTTGAGCTCCGCCACGAGGATGTCGAGTACCCAAGCGCGGGCGCCGGAGTAGGAGCGGAGGCGGGAGGGACGGAGGATCTCCACCGTGAGGTTCCGGCGGAGGAGGCGCCAAGTGGGGCCATAGGAGGAGGAGCTGATGATGTGCTTGTTGGAGGTGAGGATGCGGGTGGCGACTGGAGGCGGTGGGCGGTCGGCAAAGACAGCGCCGCGGTGGATGAGGGCCTGGTGGGCGAGGGACCGGGAGGAGACGAAGACGGCGGGGCGGGGGCCGACATGGAGGGTGACCATCGGGCCGTGGCGGGCGTGGAGGGGGCGGAGGACGGACTCGAGCTCCAACAAGGACTTGCCGAGCCATTCTAAGTTGCCAATGACCGGGAAGGTGAGGGGGCCCGGCGGGAGGCTCTTCTTCTTGGCGGCGGAGGAGAGGAGGTTGACGGTGGCTCTGAGGAGGGCGGCGACGGAGAGGGTGACGACTACGAGGAACCAGAGATCCATCTTCTGCCACAGCGACTTCGAGTCTTTGAGTGAGTCTGACCAAATTAAGGATTTGCAGTGAAGAGGGGGCGAATTGTTTGTTTTATATAAGCATGGAGATTAGATGACAACTTACCCAAAACAAAACACAATTTATTTATTTTTTATAATTTTATATTTTGATAAATCCTCAATTTTCTTAAGGATTTTAAAATAAATGAAGTGTAAGAATTTACTTATGTGTTAATATCATGGGTTCTGTCTTTTTAAAAATATATATATATAGCTAAAATTTGTTTAGTTATATTTTTAATTAAGCATAAAGTGTTCAAGGTCCTTACCAAAAAAAAAAAGTGTTCAAGACAAACTATAAACTGCATATAAACAAGAAGCTATACTTCTTATTGTTTGATTTATTAAGTGAATGTCTTTATTAAGTGCAAATTGCTTCACTTAATTAAATATATACCCGAATTATAGATAACCATCTATAGGACTTGATTGCATTTTTTAAAAGTTTTAGAACTTGATTGTATTTTCGTGATAAGTTTTAGGATTGGCTTGAAGTTTTTGAAAGTTTTACGATTCAATTGTACTTCAATTGCACATTCGTGACAAATCTTAAAAATTTTAATGCGCTTATCCCTTAATATCCTAACGAAGTACACACGAGTCATCCCAAATAATTCTTAGTATTCAATTCAAGCAAAACGAATAGTAACTACCTTTCACCGGACATCAATCCTAATTCATAACATATAGCTATTTCAGAAAACGATATGTACTACTAAATCACAATACCGATTTGAAATTTTAAAATTGTCATTTCACCAAATTTTAGCGGAGCTATGTATTTCCGTGCATTGTATGAGCCTTTTCTCTGGTCGTATATAATAAGATAGGGATTACGTGATTATTATATTTCGATTATGAAAACTTGTAGTTCATTTCCGGGGGACAAAGGATCTGGGTTAGAAAACAGTAGTTATACGTCAATACAATTTTTTATTCCCGATTCTTAGTCATTAAGCTATGTCACATGTTAGCATCAATAATTACTAAAGTAATAATGACGGAATATTTTTTATTTTATGGTTTTCGTATGTTACATCATTAATGTATGTCAGGCGAGGCCGCCTACGCCGGCCTGGGCGGGCGAGGGTGGCCCTCGCCCAACGCCGCAACCCTCGCTAGCCCATGCGAGGGCAGCTCTCGCCTGCCTAGATCCGGTGAGGGCCGCCCTTGGCCTCGCCAGATCGGGCGAGGACGAGGGTTGCCCTTGCCGGATTTGGCGAGGGCGGCTCTCGCCTGCCCAGGCAAGGGCGACCCTTGCCCGATCCCGGCAAGGGCGACCCTTGCCCCATCCCGGCAAGGGTGGCCGTCTCCCGATGCCGAAGCAGGTGGCCCTCGCCTGAGGCCGGCGGACATCGCCGGCGATGGCCACAAGAGGGAAGAGAGAAAAAGAAAAAATAAAAAGAAAAAAACAAAATTGCCCGTATTCTGACGCCGGAAATTTCTCATGCTCGCCGGTCAGCGAAATGTTCGCCGGCCAGCAAGCTGGGTCCTTATTTGAGACTAGTTTGGTCACTTTGAGTCCTTAATTGAAACGTTGTCAACTTAGAATCTTTTTTTGAGAAAAGAGATTCACTTTGGGTCCTTAATTGAAATTTTCTCTATATAATAAGATAGGGATTACGTGATTATTATATTTTGATTATGAAAACTTGTAGTTCATTTCCGGGGGACAAAGGATCTGGGTTAGAAAACAGTAGTTATACGTCAATACAATTTTTTATTCCCGATTCTTACTCATTAAGCTATGTCACATGTTAGCATCAATAATTACTAAAGTAATAATGACGAAATATTTTTTATTTTATGGTTTTCGTATGTTACATCATTAACGTAATGGCGGTAATATCCTATATTTAATTGCTCGACCCATTCGATAATCAACCTAAATGCTTTTTAAAAAAAAATTATGACACATCAAAAGGAGAAATTAATTAGATTATATATACTCAATATAGATTTAGACAATACAATATGGATTGACTTAGAGCACATAAACAGAAATTTTCTATTTTTCGTAATAATAAAAAACGGTCTGTTTTATCTTGGGATTGTACTACTATTGTGAATTTAATTTCAGATTTTTATCGTTTTAAATATAGACATCACGCATACTATCTTTCGTCGCAATTTTTTTTACATTCGATGTGAATTTCCTCGGTAGAGTGGCTAATGCTTTTTTGTTACCGATTTATGATCCATGTGGAGGACAGCAATTAAATCGAATACACTATACTGGATTGGATTATTATTATTGGCATTGCTAACAATAGAGTAACGATAGCGTACCGATAGCGTACCGAGAGTATTATAATTTACGAGTGAAAAAGTGTCAAGTAGTAATAAAATAGAAAAAAAGTATAATTACAGTTAGACACGACAAACATTATTCAATGAAAATGATGTCAAATATAAAAGTATTTATAATGTGATCAAACATTATTTCTTAATGGAAAACATTTATATAAAATAAAAATAACTAAAATGGCATTATTAAAGAAAAAAATGTAACTAAAAGGCCCGGTACTAATCGCGAATTCATTTCTAAGAACTGAAGAAAAAGAAGAACTTCGCAAACTTTTTGTGAATTTATTGAGAAAGCAAAAACACACTCCACAAACATTTTCCGAAATTCAGGTGCCCGAATGCCTGGGACAAATGTGAGCCCGCAAAGGGTTCTTCATCACCACGGTGAACTCCTGCTTCTCCGACAGGTCCACCTCCTCGCCGGCCACCGTCCGCCATTGGAACAGCCACACCAGGTTCGCCACGAAGTACTCCAGGTGCAGCATCGCGAGCCCGTACCCGGGACACATCCTCCTCCCCACCCCGAACGGCATCATCTTTATCTCCCTGCTCTCCGTGATGTCGAACTCGCCGCCTTCTCCTCCTTCGCCGCCGCGGCCGCAATTCAAGAACCTCTCGGGCTTGAACGCCATCGGGTCTTCCCAGACTTCCGGGTCCCAGCCCATCTCCGCCACCATGAAGTTGATGGTCCCGTCCTTGGGGATCACGTGCCCGCCCAGCTCCGCGTCTTCCGTCACCGCGTGCGGCAGCACGAAGTGCCCCGGCGGGTGGCGGCGCAGCCCCTCCAGCACCACCGCCTTCAGGTAGTCCAGCCTCTGCAGGTCCTCCTCCTTCACCTGCTCCGCCCCTTGTCCCACGACCGATTTGATTTGATCGTAGAGCCTCTCTTGGATTTCTGGGTACTTGACCAGGTTCGCCATGATCCACTGCAGCGCCGTGGACGTCGTGTCAGTACCGGCGTTGAGGAACTCATTGCAGAGGCTCACTATCTCGCCCTCCTCCAGCTTCCTCTTCTCCTCCGGCAGCTCCAGGTCCAGGAGCGTGTCCACGTACGATAAGATCCAATCGCCGTCGTCCTCGTTTCTGTCCTCATTGGCTTTGCTCAGCTGCTCTCGCTTGGCCTTGGATCGAGCTCTGATGAGCGGGACGAGGACGTGCTTCCGATTCTCGTAGAGCTCGTAGAACTCCTTCCACCGCTTCCGGAGCACGAGCTTGGTCAGCCGCGGCCAGAAATTGAGCACCTTGAACCGCGGCAGATCCAGCAGCAATTTTCGCTGAGCCTCCTCGATCTGCTTAATCTGCTTCTCTTCGAGCCTGTCTCCGAAGCACATGAGGACGAGCAAGCAGAACATGGCGTACTGGAAGTGGTCGACCACGCTGACGACGCCGCCAGGCTGGGACTTGAGCTCCCCCACGAGGATGTCGAGGACCCAAGCGCGGGCGCGGGAGTAGGAGCGGAGACGGGAGGGATGGAGGATCTCCGCCGTGAGCTTCCGGCGGAGGAGGCGCCAGGTGGGGCCGTAGGAGGAGGAGCTGATGTTGTGCTGGTTTGCGGACATGACGCGCATGGTGGCCAGGGGCGGTGGGCGGTCGGCGAAGACGGCGCCGCGGTGGACGAGGGCCTGGTGGGCGAGTGCCCGGGAGGAGACGAAGACGGCGGGGTGGGAGCCGATGTGGAGGGTGACCATCGGGCCGTGGCGGGCGTGGAGGGAACGGAGGACGGGCTCGAGCTCCGAGAAGGACTTGCGGAGCCATAGGAAGTTGCCGATGACCGGGAAGGTGAGCGGGCCCGGCGGGAGGCTCTTCCCCCTCTCGGCTGCGGCGGAGGAGAGGAGGTTGACGGTGGCTCTGAGGAGGGCGGCGACGGAGAGGGTGACGAGGACGAGGAGCCAGAGATCCATCTTTCGCCGGAGCACACTTTTGAGTTTGACCAAATCAGAACTTCGCAGAGAAGGGCGGAACCGTCTGCGGTCTAACAAACACCGAAGCACACATAAGTAATCCCAAATAATTCTTATCACTTAGTTTAAGTAAAAAGTAAGATGACATGACGAATCACGATATCGATTTGAAATTTGGAATATGCCGTTTTGTCAACATTTCTCGTAATGATAACTTTTTTAATTGCCAGATTATTTCAAGTAATATGATTGCTTTTTTTTATTAAAATTTTTTCCAAATTATTTATTTTTCTTCGAAACAAACGAAGTCTAGGTTTTAATTAAATGGGATTTATCACAAGAGAATTGTGGACCCGAGAAAGTTCTCTGGGGAATAAGGCTGCGCATGACAACGATTCTCAGTGCTTGGAAACAAATTCCCGCTCAAAAATGATTCTTTTGATTCTCGTCCTAATTGATTCTAAGCATTTTAAGGCATTTGTTAACGGCCCAAAATTCCATCTCTCGGAATAGAAAAAGAACAAAATGCGTTTGGTAACGCCACAAAATTTCTTTTATTAATAATATTTTTAAATATTTTAATATTTCTTTCTTTTTTTCTTTTCTTTTTTCTTTTCCCTTCCTTCTTGGCCATAGCCTGCTCGCTAGGCTATGACCTAAAATATTTTTATTAATAATATTTTTATTAAAATTATTTTTTTCTTTTTTTGCCATGGCATGGTCGTCACCATGACCGGTAAAATATTTTTTTATTAATAGTATTTTTTATTAAAAATATATATTTTTATTTTTTTGGCCATGGCTATTCAAGCTGCCATGGCCTAAAATATTTTTTTTATTAATAATATTTTTTATTAAAATATTTTTATTAAAAATATACATTTTTATTTTTTTGTGCCATGGCACTGGTCGCGGCCATGGCGGGTAAAATATTTTTTTTATTAAAAATATACATTTTTATTTTTTGGGCCATGGCACAGTCGCCGGCCATGGCCGGTAAAATATTTTTATTAAAAATATATTTTTTTTTTTTTGGCCATGGCCTGGCGCCGCCATGGATGGTAAAATATATTTTTATTAAAATATTTTATTAAAAATATTTTTTTCTTTTTTTTGGCCCTGGCCTGATCGCCGGCCATGGCCTGTAAAATATTTTTTTTATTAAAATTTTTTTATTAAAAATATACATTTTTATTTTTTTTGGCCATGGCCTGGTCGCTGGCCATGGCCGGTAAAATATTTTTTTTATTAATAATATTTTTTATTAAAATATTTTTATTAAAAATATATATTTTTTTTTTTTGCCATGGCCTGGTCATACCGCCATGGCGGTAAAATATTTTTTTATTAATAATATTTTTATTAAAATATTTTTATTACAACTATATTTTTTTCTTTTTTATGGCCACGGCTCGTCATTGGCCATGGCCTAAATATTTTTTATTAATAATATTTTTATTAAAATATTTTATTCTCGTCGATCCGGAGGGCGGTCCTCAGGCCTACATTAGAAGCTAAATTAAAAACCAAGAAAAGGAAGAAGAAAAAAAAATTGATTCTCAAAATTGTTCCCATAATCAAGAAGCTACTTTTTCTTATTCTTGATTCTGCTCCAAATCGATTCTGGGAACAATTTTTGACAAAATTGTGCCCAGAATCAAAAAATTAAACAAACGCATTTCGTCCAAACCGATTCTAAACAAAAGAACAGAGTCAAACACTATTTGGCAAATTGTCATGCGCAGCCTAAGACTCATAGCATGAACGCATCACTTATTGATCCGACATATGTAGATTAAGAAGAAGGCTCTTGTGCCTGTAGAGAACCGTGGCGTGAAGATGCCGAAACCATGCGATGAAATGGGGAAAGTTCCATTCCATTAAATCACAGGATGTCTTATCGTTAATGGTTTTTAGGTGCAGACCAAACTGCTGAACCGGACTCATAGTTTTTATTTTTGGCAATACTTATTATTACAATTCCCAAAGGATGATTGGGGGCAGAAAACTCAATTGAACGCTATTTCTTTTACAAGTCAGCTAATTTCATTTATAACAAAGGAAACATGAACTCGTGCAGGAATTTTCGCAAACACCTCGGAGGTTCGCCTGCCAAGTCCAATTACATACAGACATTCTCCCAAATTTCAGGTGCCCAAATTCCTGGGACAAATCTCAGCCCTCAAAGGGTTCTTCATCACTATGGTGAACTCCTGCTTCTCCGACAGGTCCACCTCCTCGCCGGCCACCGTCCGCCATCGGAACAGCCACACCAAGTTCGCCACGAAGTACTCCAGGTGCAGCATCGCGAGCCCGGATGCGGGACAGATCCTCCTCCCTGCCCCAAACGGCATCATCTTTATCTCCCTGCTCCCCGTGATGTCGAACTCGCCGGCTTCTCCTCCGTCGCCGCCGCGGCCGCAATTCAAGAACCTCTCGGGCTTGATGGTCCCGTCCTTGGGGATCACGTGCCCGCCCAGCTCCGCGTCTTCCGTCACCGCGTGCGGCAGCAAGAAGTGTCCCGGCGGGTGGCGGCGCAGCCCCTCCAGCACCACCGCCTTCAGGTAGTCCAGCCTCTGCAGGTCCTCCTCCTTCACCTGCTCCGCCCCTTGTCCCACGACCGATTTGATTTGATCGTAGAGCCTCTCTTGGATTTCTGGGTACTTGACCAGGTTCGCCATGATCCACTGCAGCGCCGTGGACGTCGTGTCAGTACCGGCGTTGAGGAACTCATTGCAGAGGCTCATTATCTCGTCCTCCTCCAGCTTCCTCTTCTCCTCCGGCAGCTCCAGGTCCAGGAGCGTGTCCACGTACGATAAGATCCAATCGCCGTCGCCGTCATTCCCGTCCTCCTTGGCTTTGCTGAGCTGCTCTCGCTTGGCCTTGGATCGAGCTCTGATGAGCGGGACGAGGACGCGCTTCCGATTCTCGTAGAGCTCGTAGAACTCCTTCCACCGCTTCCGGAGCACGAGCTTGGTCAGCCGCGGCCAGAAATTGAGCACGTTGAACAACGGCAGATCCAGCAGCGATTTTCGCTGAGCCTCCTCGATTTGCTTAATCTGCTTCTCTTCGAGCCTGTCTCCGAAGCACATGAGGACCAGCAAGCAGAACATGGCGTACTGGAAGTGGTTGACGACCAGGACGACACCGCCAGGCTGGGACTTGAGCTCCCCCACGAGAATGTCGAGGACCCACGCGCGGGCGCGGGAGTAGGAGCGGAGGCGGGAGGGATGGAGGATCTCCGCCGTCAGCTTCCGGCGGAGGAGGCGCCAGGTGGGGCCGTAGGAGGAGGAGCTGATGTTGTGCTGGTTTGCGGACATGACGCGCATGGTGGCCAGGGGCGGCGGGCGGTCGGCGAAGACGGCGCCGCGGTGGACGAGGGCCTGGTGGGCGAGTGCCCGGGAGGAGACGAAGACGGCGGGGTGGGAGCCGATGTGGAGGGTGACCATCGGGCCGTGGCGGGCGTGGAGGGAACGGAGGACGGGCTCGAGCTCCGAGAAGGACTTGCGGAGCCATAGGAAGTTGCCGATGACCGGGAAGGTGAGCGGGCCCGGCGGGAGGCTCTTCCCCCTCTCGGCGGCGGCGGAGGAGAGGAGGTTGACGGTGGCTCTGAGGAGGGCGGCGACGGAGAGGGTGACGAGGACGAGGAGCCAGAGATCCATCTTTCGCCGGAGCACACTTTTGAGTTTGACCAAATCAGAACTTCGCGGAGAAGGGCGGAACCGTCTGCGGTCTAACAAACACCGAAGCACACATAAGTAATCCCAAATAATTCTTATCACTTAGTTTAAGTAAAAAGTAAGATGACATGACGAATCACGATATCGATTTGAAATTTGGAATATGCCGTTTTGTCAACATTTCTCGTAATGATAACTTTTTTAATTGCCAGATTATTTCAAGTAATATGATTGCTTTTTTTTATTAAAATTTTTTCCAAATTATTTATTTTTCTTCGAAACAAAAGTAGTCTAGGTTTTAATTAAATGGGATTTATCACAAGAGAATTGTGGACCCGAGAAAGTTCTCTGGGGAATAAGGCTGCGCATGACAACGATTCTGTGCCCGGAAACAGATTCTGCTCAGAAATGATTATTTTTTATTCTGTGCCCGGAATTGATTCTGAGCATTTTAAGGCGTTTGTTAACAACCCAAAATTCCATCCCTGGAATAGAAAAAGAACAGAAATGCGTTTGGTAACGCCACAAAATTTCTTTTTATTAATAATATTTTTAAATATTTTAATATTTCTTTCTTTTTTTTTTTTCTTTTTTTCTTTTCCTTCTTGGCCATAGCCTGCTCGCCGGCCATGACCGGTAAAATATTTTTTATTAATAATATTTTTATTAAAAGTATTTTTTTCTTTTTTTTTGCCATGGCATGGTCGTCGGCCATGACCGGTAAAATATTTTTTTTATTAATAATATTTTTTATTAAAATATTTTTATTAAAAATATATATTTTTATTTTTTTGCAATGGCTCTGTTCTTGCCATACTAAAAAAAATATTTTTTTATTAATAATATTTTTTATTAAAATATTTTTATTAAAAATATACATTTTTATTTTTTTGTGCCATGGCCTGGTCGCCGGCCAGGCAGGTAAAATATTTTTTTTATTAATAATATTATTTATTAAAAATATACATTTTTATTTTTTTGGGCCATGGCCTGGTCGCCGGCCATGGCCGGTAAAATATTTTTTTTATTAAAATATTTTTATTAAAAATATATATTTTTATTTTTTTGGCCATGGCCTGGTCGCCGGCCATGGATGGTAAAATATATTTTTTATTAAAATATTTTTATTAAAAATATATTTTTTTCTTTTTTTTGGCCCTGACCTGATCGCCGGCCATGGCCTGTAAAATATTTTTTTATTAATAATATTTTTTTATTAAAATATTTTTATTAAAAATATACATTTTTATTTTTTTTGCCATGGCCTGGGTCATTGGCACATGACCGTAAAATATTTTTTTATTAAAATATTTTTATTAAAAATATATATTTTTTTTTTTTGCCATGGCCTGGTCACCGGCCATGGCGGTAAAATATTTTTTTATTAATAATATTTTTTATTAAAATATTTTTATTAAAAATATATATTTTTTCTTTTTTATGGCCATGGCTGGTAAAATATTTTTTATTAAAATATTTTATTCTCGTCAGATCCGGCGAGGGCGGTTCTCGGGCCGGACATTAGAAGCTAAATTAAAAACCAAGAAAAGAAAGAAGAAAAAAAAATTGATTCTCAAAATTGTTCTTAATCAAGAAGCTACTTTTTTTTTCTTGATTCGTTCCAAAATCGATTCTGGAACAATTTTTGACAAAATTGTGCCCTTAATCAAAAAATTAAACAAACGCATTTCTGTTCCCAAACTGATTCTGGGAACAAAAGAACAGAGTCAAACACTATTTGGCAAGTTGTCATGCGCAGCCTAAGACTCATAGCATGAACGCATCACTTATTGATCCGACATATGTAGATTAAGAAGAAGGCTCTTGTGCCTGTAGAGAACCGTGGCGTGAAGATGCCGAAACCATGCGATGAAATGGGGAAAGATCCATTCCATTAAATCACAGGATGTCTTATCGTTAATGGTTTTTAGGTGCAGACCAAACTGCTGAACCGGACTCATAGTTTTTATTTTTGGCAATACTTATTATTACAATTCCCAAAGGATGATTGGGGGCAGAAAACTCAATTGAACGCTATTTCTTTTACAAGTCAGCTAATTTCATTTATAACAAAGGAAACATGAACTCGTGCAGGAATTTTCGCAAACACCTCGGAGGTTCGCCTGCCAAGTCCAATTACATACAGACATTCTCCCAAATTTCAGGTGCCCAAATTCCTGGGACAAATCTCAGCCCTCAAAGGGTTCTTCATCACTATGGTGAACTCCTGCTTCTCCGACAGGTCCACCTCCTCGCCGGCCACCGTCCGCCATCGGAACAGCCACACCAAGTTCGCCACGAAGTACTCCAGGTGCAGCATCGCGAGCCCGGATGCGGGACAGATCCTCCTCCCTGCCCCAAACGGCATCATCTTTATCTCCCTGCTCCCCGTGATGTCAAAACCGCCCGCTTCTCCGCCGTCGTAATTCAAGAACCTCTCGGGCTTGAACGCCATCGGGTCCTCCCAGACTTTCGGGTCCCAACCCATCTCCGCCACCGTGAAGTTGATGGTCCCGTCCTTGGGGATCACGTACCCGCCCAGCTCCGCGTCTTCCGTCACCGCGTGCGGCAGCACGAAGTGCCCCGGTGGGTGGCGGCGCAGCCCCTCCAGCACCACCGCCTTCAGGTAGCCCATCCTCTGCAGGTCCTCCTCTTTCACTTGCTCCGCCCCTTGTCCCACGACTGATTTGATTTCATCGTAGAGCCTCTCTTGGATTTCCGGGTACTTGACCAGGTTGGCCATGATCCACTGCAGCGCCGTGGACGTCGTGTCGGTGCCGGCGTTGAGGAACTCCGAGCAGAGGCTCGTTATCTCGTCCTCCTCCAGCTTCCTCTTCTCCTCCGGCAGCTCCAGGTCCAGGAGCGTGTCCACGTACGACACGATCCAGTCGCCGTCATTCCCGTCCTCCCTGGCTTTGTTCAGTTGCTCTCGCTTGGCCTTGGATCGAGCTCTGATGAGCGGGACGAGGACGTGATTCCGATTCTCGATGAGCTCGTAGAACTCCTTCCACCGCTTCCGGAGCAGGAGCTTGCTCACCCGTGGCCAGATGTTGAGCACGCTGAACCGCCGCAGACCCAGAAGCAGCCGTGTCTGAACCTCCTCGATCCGCTTAATCTGCTTTTCTTCGAGCCTGTCTCCGAAGCACATGAGGACCAGCAAGCAGAACATGGCGTACCTGAAGTGGTCGACGACCCGGACGACGCCGCCAGGCTGGGACTTGAGCTCCCCCACGAGGATATCGAGGACCCACGCGCGGGCGCGGGAGTAGGAGCGGACGCGGGAGGGATGGAGGATCTCCGCCGTGAGGTTCCGGCGGAGAAGGCGCCAGGCTGGGCCGTAGGAGGAGGAGTTGATGCTGTGCTGGTTGGCGGAGAGGACGCGCATGGTGGCGAGGGACGGCGGGCGGTCGGCGAAGACGGCGCCGCGGTGGACGAGGGCCCGGTGGGCGAGGGCCGGGGAGGAGACGAAGACGGCGGGGCGGGGGCCGATGTGGAGGGTGACCATGGGGCCGTGGCGGGCGTGGAGGGAGCGGAGGATGGGCTCGATCTCGGAGAAGGACTTGCGGAGCCATAGGAAGTTGCCGATGACCGGGAAGGCGAGGGGGCCCGGCGGGAGGCTCTTCCTCCTCCCGGCGGCGGGGGAGGAGAGGAGGTCGGCGGTGGCTCGGAGGAGGGCGGCGACGGAGAGGGCGACGACGATGAGGAACCAGAGATCCATCTTTCGCCGGAGCGACACCGAGTGTTCTTGAGTGTGAACGAATGGAGGATTTGCAGAGAAAGAGGTGGCGATTGGTTTGTCGTTAATAAAGGTAATGGATTACTTTCTCTTTTTTGCTTTTATTTTTTGTGGTAGGAAATCGGATGACCTTTCTTGCAGTGGCCCAATCTGACCATAAAAAACACCAAATTTAGCTCATATATCAATTCTGACCTAACCTTTTTTTATCTCGTAAAATGCACTGAGTTACAATCGGTATCCAAATCGGCCGTACCTTGCCGTCGCTTTTTGCGCGTTTTTTTGGACAGCCTTTTTGTGTGTAGGAATTATTATGAGTAGAGGCTAGAGAGGGGCACGGACCACGTGATACCGCGCGACGATCTCGATAGGGGCGGCTGCGATAGGAAAACGCGGGCGATCGGGACGAGTTTTGCGATCGAGGGATTACACGCGCGCTGCTCGTGACGATTGGATTGCCGATATTTAGTTGCGGGGCATTGCGCTCGTTTAAGAGACTTGACGGTCGATATTGAGCAATCAATCGGTCATTAAATGACTTTTGCAGCTACATAAAAAGGGCTTTGACTTCATGGGGCTTTCGCTTGATGCTAAATATTGTTGAGCAAGTAGAATTACGGTTTTAGATAGCTAACTTGTAAGATGTAAAATACGCTTTAGCGGAGCTCTCTCTCTCTCTCTCTCTCTCTCTCTCTCTCTCTCTCTCTCTCTCTCTCTCTCTCTGAAGTAGCTCCACATCCGATCCGAGGCGATCGGGAGAATTGTCCAAAAAGTCTCAAATTTATTGCGCTTTTGCAAATTGAGTCATAAACCTTTCAATTTCGCCATTTGAGTCAAAAACTTTTTTTTACGTTTTACAATTAAGTCAATTTGGTGGCTAAATGGACTGAATTGGCAAAACTGCAATAAGTTTATGACTTTTTGGTTAATTTTCCCCGAGGCGACCCTACTGCCATCTCTCGTGGTCCTCTCAGTACCAGGACCGGAACCATGTCGCATTAAAATGATCAACCCCGACCCCAAAATAAAAATATCATTGACATGATTTGCATTAGTATTACAAGCACCGGGAACAATTTCGTTTAGTATTAACATGTCGACATAAATTGCATTCGAGTCGGTCCGATCATTAATTGCCTTGGAATTATCCCAAAGTGTTGCCTGGGTTTGTTTGAATTCTCAAGCAAGCCTATTTAATTCAAGGATTGATGAAATTTGGCCAAGCCAATTGATACACTTTGTGCTAGCCGAATTCCCCCTGAGCAATGCACATGGGGTGTTCTGAACAAAGAAAGTGGATTCTTTGATCAAATTTGGAAAGGAAGAATGCATATCCTTTGCAATTTT